GATATTTCAGCAGTACAAAGACATCTGTTCAAATCCCGAATTAACGCCATCCTCCAAGTCCCTAAACCAACTACCCTGAAACAAATGAGAGGAGTTTTAGGGATGGCTGGGTATTGCAGGCAATGGATTATGAGTTATGCCTCCATTGTCAAACTTCTACAGGCCCTTACCCTTAATTCTACTCCCGAACCACTACCTTGGCTTCCAGAAGCCGAACAAGACTTTATTCAGACCAATCAAGCCCTCGCCAGAGCACCCACTTTAGGACTTCCTGATTACAAGAAACCCTTTACCCTGTATTGCGATGAACGAGATGGCATTGCCCTAGGGGTGCTCACTCAGCTTCACAGTGACAGGCAACGCCCCATTGCCTATTATAGCTCTGTCTTAAACCCTGTTGCAGCAGGACTTCCGCCCTGTCTCCGATCTATAGCTGCTGCTGCTCTACTTGTTGAAAAGGCTGATTCCTTGGTTCTTGAACACCCATTAACTGTTGCTGTTCCCCATGCTGTTATGGCCCTGCTCCTGAAAGGCAAAACACAACATATTTCTAACTCCCGACTTACCAAATATGAAAAGCTGCTTCTTTCAGCTGCCAGTGTAATTTTAACACGCTGCTCTATCCTGAATCCTGCTTCCCTACTTCCTACCCCATCAGACGGAGAACCTCATGATTGCCTAACTGTAACTACCCAGCTTTTGACCCCTCGTATCGATCTTAAAGATACACCACTACAGAACCCAGATCTCCTGCTATATGTAGATGGCTCCTGCCTTAGAAACTCCAAGGGACAGCTCACTGCTGGCTATGCAGTCTGTGATCAACACCAAGTTTAAGAAGCTTACCAGTTGCCTCATGCCCGCTCTGCTCAAGTAGCTGAACCGGTAGCCCTCACTCGAGCATGCACCTTGGCTAAGGGTCAATCTGCCACCATCTACACTGATTCCAGATATGCTTTCGGTGTTGTACATGACTTTGGTCAACTTTGGAAACAAAGAGGATTCCTTATTTCGGCTGGGACTCAGATTAGTAATGGTTCTTATGTCGATGCTCTTTTACATGCTCTCTTATTGCCTTCTGCTATTGCTATTGTTAAATGTAAAGCCCATGAAATCCCTAATGATGATGTCACACGCGGAAATGCCCTAGCTGACCATGCGGCTAGGAATACGGCCCTTTCTGGCCCTCAGGCTCCTAATGATATTTCTCTTTGCCTTTTAGCAGACCAGTCTCCATTGGCCAATCTCTCCGACTTGGCCCTACTCCAAGACCAGGCTCCAAAATTTGAGAAAGAAGACTGGCTGCACAAAGAACGTCAGTTGCATCCTGACACCTTGTAGCGCTCCCCGGACGGCCGCCTGGTGGCGCCCAAGGCTTTGCTACCTTACCTTGCTCGTCTGGCCCACTTGGTGGCCCATACGAGCAAAGGGGGGATGATTGCGACAGTACAGCGTGATTGGTTTGCCCAAAATTTTCCCTCCCTGGCGCAGCAGTACTGTAGCACTTGTCCCATTTGTCTTGCCCATAACATCGGTCAGAAGGTTAAAACTAGACAAGCAGCACACCCTCCACCATGGGGACCTTTCATAAATTTGCAAATGGACTTTGTTCAAATGCCAAAATGTTGTTCTTTTGAATATATTCTTGTCATTATTGATATGTACTCTGGTTGGGTAGAAGCTTATCCTTGTAAACATGCAGACTCCACCACTGTAGCAAAGAAACTTTTGAAAGAATTCATCCCCAGATTTGGCCTGCCACTCACGCTAGACAGCGACCGAGGAACACACTTTACAGGGCAGATTGTTAGAAACATCTGTAAGGCCCTGAACATACACCAGCACCTGCACTGTGCCTACCATCCCCAATCCAGTGGCGCAGTAGAGCGAAAAAACTCTGACTTAAAAACATGCCTGTCTAAAATTTGTGCTGAAACTAACCTGAAATGGCCGCTGCATTGCCACTGGCACTCATGCACATTAGAAACACTGCCAACAGAAAACACGGACTGTCCCCGCATGAAATTCTAATGGCACGTCCCATGAGAATGGCCACTACACCACCTCAATTTCCTCATCAGACTAATCTTCAGTTGGATGATGAAACTTTTAAATTACTATAAGGCACTAATGAAATGTGTCAGATCTATTCATTCACAGATTCAGGAAGAGCTGCCACCCGCTGCAGTTGTCCCATGCCATTTGCTTGAGCCTGGAAACTGGGTATATATCAAGGTTCATCAACAAAAAAACTCACTCCAACCTAGATGGAAGGGCCCCTTCCAGGTGCTCCTAACCACTAATACTGCCGTTCGTTGCCAAGGACACCAGACGTGGACTCACGCCTCACACTGTAAAAAGGTTTCACCTCCATTGGACCCCGA